TTTTTTTTCTAAGTGCATTAAAACCAACGCGCTGTTGTTGTTTTTCAACCCAGATAGACTGAACCGCCTCCTGCAGGTTCCCACCCAGCGTGTCCTCTGCTTCAACCATGTGCACCGTGTTTTTAGTCCAACCACTTTTTGTGGATTGCTGTGATTAAACTGCATCAGTTTGCGTTTGCAGCCCGCATGCTGCTGGTTTTTTGGGGCCTGCGAGTCCACAGAAAGTAACACCGTGTTCTCGGAGGCGGAACCTCCAGTCCGCCCAGTTCACTGCATCACGACCCAGCACCAGTGTCGCTTGTTTACCGAGCTGCTTACTTTTTTATTTTTATTTATTTTTTTTGCATTGATATCCATTAATAATGTAAGTGTTTTTACAAATAGAGAAAATGTAGGATTTTATTTTATTATTCTTTTTTTTGTGCATATTTGCTAACCTTTTGTACATGAACTTGACGTTTAAATGCTTTTTTATTTTTATTTTTTTTTTTATATTGTAAGTTTTAATTCTGGTATAGGGTTATGTCAAAAAAAAAAGTCAGTGATTCTCAATCTGTTCCCACTGAAGCAAAGTGTGACCTCGTCACAGGACACAAACAGTTGTTACATTTATTATTATTATTATTATTATTATTATTATTATTATTATTATTATTATTATATCAGTTTGCTTTGAAGGAGGCCTGAAGAAATGTGTGCAAAAATGAAATCAATAAAAGAAATGGAGCTCAAAAAATCTTTTCACAAAAACCCATAGTGGGGTATAAAAGAATTTTTTTTAATTTATTTATTTTTATCCACTCGTGACCGCTCATTTCACTCTTGCCTGAAGCTTGGTAACCACAGTCAAAACCACCGTTTACAGCGGTGGAAAGGAACAAAGCACGTTTATTGTTCTTAAAGTTCAGCTTTGAGTCACTTCCCATTTTCTGCTGCTTTATAAAAACCACAGTTTGTACTCAGTTCAGATGCCAGCTTCAGTTACAGACTTACTTTAATGATACGAAATGATTAACAAATACACATAACAGATGCTGGAAAGTGAGTAAAGTCAGTGATGAAGGAAAACAGTACTTTAAATATTGATCTGAGGGGAAACTGACAACAGAAACTATATGAAGTATTTAACACGTTTAGCAGTAATGAACACATTAATGCATCAACAGTGATGTGAGTTATCCTAAAACATGCCATTCTGCATGATGGATACTTTTATTTTTGTACATTTTCTGTTTATTTTGATGCCGATACATGTGTACTTTTACTCTATAAATTAAAATACATGGGTTTTACTTGTACTTCTTTCCATCTCTGAAAGTTTTGGTCACTCACGTATCACCAAGCAATGAGCCGTTGTTTGTTTACACCATGTCTGTGTTGGTTAAATTAACATTGCATTGCATGATTTTATTTATTTTTTCTTAAAGAATAACGATCCAAGGCAAAAGTCTTGCAAAACCTTCAACTTTACCCAGATGCATATTCTAAGATGAACTTCTACAAACCTAGACAATACTTGTTAAAATGCATCTGGGGTACAACTCGTGTACAGTGGCACCGTCTTTCAGTTTTGTTGCCTCCAATTACAGGCTAAACATAGTTTATGTAAAGGATCAGTTTCCTCCCTTTTTGTTATTCTTTAAAATCCACCAAACTCGCATTTGACAGACTGCAACAAATGTGCCTGCTCTCTTCTGCAGTAAAAGCCGGAGGAAAACGGGTGGCCAAGAAAAGCTTGGAAGACGGTGGCACCCATGGGACTCCAGAGAAGGAAACCAAGAGGTCTGATAAACTGAGGTGAGCCCCCAGTCTGCATCTGCAACACGTCGTTTTAAGTGTAAACTCCAATGAAATGCCACTTCAGACCTTAAGGCGTGAGAGCGTCCAGCAGCGTTTTGTCGATTACTGAAATCTGTTTGAAACCTGTGCAGCAGGTCCCTCGCCACCACCAACAGGATGCAACAAGTTGGCATACTTCTGGCAGGGACTCTTGACAAGGTAAACAAAAACACTCCCTGTTTGTAAGATGTCACTTCATTTCTGTTGAGTGGACAATTAAACTCCTGCCTGACGCTTTGCAGCTGAGCCACGACTTCCCGGAGACGCCGGTGAGCGTGAGGCACAGCAAGGTGCGCCCCGGGGTGGAGAAGCATCACGCCCCTCGGACCTTCTTCATCCAGCAGCCCAGGAAGTGTTGAACGTGCTTCCAGAGGGAAAGCGCGTGAAGTCGACTGTGAAACACCAACGACGTGTCAGACACACTAGAGGACGGACAGGTTGTCTGTCGAGGGAACAGAAAGTTTTTCATTGAGCTCAGTTTATTTAGAAGGAACAAAAATGAGCTTTTTTTGTTTTGTTTTTTTGGCCTGTGCTTGTTCGTGAGAAAACTATAAACCAGCATTTTGTGTATCATTCCTAGTGTTGTAAGAGAAAATGCTGTAGTTGTATCTACAAACTGATGGGAAAACAGATGGTGTTGGAGTATGTGTAAAGTGGAGGGTTGTGCATTAGGTTTATGGGAAAGCTTTTTAAGTGAAAGTTTCACTGTGTATTGTTCAGCAAATGTGTTCGATTTATTAAAAAAAAAAAAAAAAAAAAAAAAAAAGTTGTGTGGAATCACTGCTGCTGATTTGAATTTCCTCACTGTTTTCATGAAAGTGTCCACTAGGGGGCAGCAGATAGCCATTTATCCACCTAACCAAGAGGTCTTGGTATGCAGCTCTCAAATTGAACTGAGCGGCTGTGGCTCAGGTGGTAGAGTGGGTTGTCCTCCATGGCTGGCGGTTCGATCCCTGGTCTCTCCACAGTTGAAGTGTCTTTGGGCAAGACACTGAACCCAAAGTTGCTCCCAATGGCAGGCAGCACCTTGCATGGCAGCTCTGTCACAATTGCTGTATGAATGTGTGAGAGAATGGGTGAATGAGAAACATTGTAAAGCGCTTTATAAGTGCCATTTACCAAGTTGCATGGACTGTAACGGGCTGCAAAGTGGCACAGTTGCCTCGCAGCAAAAAGGTCGCGGGTCACGTCCTGGTGAGGACACCCGGGATCTTTCTGCGTGGAGTTTGCATGTTCTCCCCGTGCAG